ACTTGGAATGGACTTTGTCACTATTCTGCTAGATACCTATTGCAAATTCTTCTTGCAATGGTTCTTTGAACTTTGTGAAACAGCAAGACACTCTGTACTGGCCTATTATTTCTACCACAAAGGCGACAGAGCTTCTCTAACAATCATTCATGTGTCATTTTGAGTGCTATAATATTATTTTGTTAGCAAAAAAGTGGCATGCTAAATTATATATTGTTACAATGTACTACCTTTGATATTCAGTTTTGGATAATAGTTATAATTGAAAAAACTTTACTAAAGCCAGGAAGTCCACTCAAAACCATCAGCTGAAATGAGTTTATTTTAGGCAGCTGCTTTAGCTCAATGCGCAGTTATTCACAGTACATATTATGTATGCGCACATGAGCTAGGGGTGTCCTAGGAGACCTTATCTAGGTCTATGGAATGTAGTACTGTCATAGCAGCTAGTACTTATGGAACGCCATCCTGGACAAAATTCTTCATCAATAATGTAAATATGGAAAGGTAGTGTGGCGATGCGCGAAGCGCATCGCCTCATTAATGCGTCAATTTCATAATGGATGTTTTTTTTATCTATGTAGCTAATCGATGTAGCTATTCAAGTGATGGTAGCTACGATTTTCTAAGACTTCACCTCATCACGTGATCCTCACCCCGCCTATAGTAGGCGTGTTAACCAGTGACAAGAGATGGCGATAAAGCAGAGCTACTATAGTAGCCTTGAGTGAGTGCATGTCAGTGTTCTTGGTGGAGATCAAGAGCTCATCAAATCCAAGGAGTCTTTCCAAGTCAGAAATGTGTATATTACTGTTATTGTTATCTCTGCTGTAGTCTTATTATTGATAGGAGTATAAAGTCTAGTCGCAACCTTGTCCGGTTATGCTCCGTTCTCGAGATTTATCTGCAATGATACTCCCACGCACGGCAGACATTTTGAAGAAGCTGGGGAGCTAAAGTTTATATTATTAATTTTTTTTTAAATATAATAACAATGAATAATGTAATGAAACTTCATACAATAACTACACTATGAATAAGCTATCTATGAATATTAAGCACGATTTGTAAAAGCAGCGCGGTGGGAAGTTATTTCAAGAGAAACCATAGTAAGCAGCTGAACTGTTCTTGTCATTTATCCATAGTACAAATTTGTCTTAGAGAATATAGGGTCAAGAGTTTGGTATTACCTAAAAGAAAAAGTTATTAGGCTCAAGAAAACAATAAAGTAATTATTGACTGGGCATAATTTAACCTTTAAAATTAAAAACTCATGAAAAGGAATAAAACTTATCTGTGCTTTATTAATAGGAAAGCATACATCGTTTATCTTGTATCCCAAATGGCTGAAGCACCACCAAAGCAGTGTCACCTATGTGGCAAGAGAGCTGATGGCCAGCTAAGTTCCGTAACTAGCTGGAAAGATGAATATCAGTCTTTTATTTTCCGCCATTTGCCAAACACAACTCATAACCGAAGTGCAGCAATATTTGCTTGTAAAAAACATTACCTTGAAGCAAGTCGATACCATCATAAACCAAATTATGTTCCTAAATGGAAAGAAAATCATATGGAAAAGCCATTAATAAATTGCATGCATCCTCAATGCCAAAATACATCAAGAAATAACAACATCATTAATGTCAGATTTACATCTAAGTCAAAAATTGAAGAAATTTTAGGCATTACATTGGATGAGGATGAAGTTTTGCTTTGCAAAGATCATTATAATGAATGCTATAGGTTGTACAATCCCACACATTGTGCCTCATGCAATGCCTGGCCAAAAACAGGCACAGCTTTCATAAATCACTGCCCTAATGCTGATTTAATAGCAGCTTATCTCAATGATGGTGTTGTGCTGACCTCAAATGACTTATTATGTAAGTCGTGCTATAACGCACACATTTCCATAATCAAGCACATTGAAACAGATCCTGAAATGGTAAAGACTAGATTAACTGAAATCATAAAAGTTTTGGAAGCAGAGATCACTAGTGATTCTACAACTCACCTAAAAAGAGCAGTTTTAAGTGCAGTTCTAGCTGTTGCCAGAAGCTTTACACAAGAGAAGGCTCTACTTCTGAGTGATGCTTGTAGAGTTTTTCTCAATGCCTATAGTGATGAATGCTATGTTGCTACTTCAGTCTATAATACAGATGTTGTTCTTGAAACAGAAAATGGTACCACCAAGTTCACTCCCCGTTGGCTTCTATATCAGTTGATCCTATTTTTGAAAAAATCAATAAGTTTTAAATGCATACACAGAAAGTTTGGTTTAATATTGTACAAAACTGGTGCTGACCTTTTGACTTGCTTATCATGGGCTCTAGGATCAAGGCAATGCCAAGATTCTTTTCAATACATGCATGACAATGAGTGCTTAGATGAGCCACAAATACTAGATAAAAGTGCAAAAATTGTCAACAAATTAATTAACAAAGAAATTGGGCATTGTAATACCAATAAAGATCCATGCAATTTCAACATACATCTGTTTATGGAGGAGACAAATCCATTGCTTATAAATTTTCTAGATCAAGCCACACAGAGTCCATCTAATTACAGTAAATTAACAGCCCACATTAGACAAACCCGTCTTTTTTTCATCATATCTCTTTTAATGTTCGTCACCAACCCAAGAAAGCCAACAGCATTTCATAATGTCTTAGCTGATATTGTTGAGACAGGTGGTGGTTCACGACAGCTAATAAAAATGCTGAATAGACTTGGATGTGTGTCTTCACCAGACACACATGACAGGTTTGTCAGTATGCACGCTAGTGAAAACAGGGAAAAAAAATGTTTGGACAATACTTTCACCTTCTGTTTTCACAATTGCCTCAGTTGATAACTTTGATATTCTTCAAAGCCATGCTGCTGTACACAGTGGCAATCAACATCAGCGTAGCTACCATGGAACTACAGTACAATTGGTGCAAC